CAGTTTGAGCAACGTCCTACTGGACAAATCAGACAGAGCATAATACACAAAAAACACATGCCAGAATAGACTATGTGGAGAAGCAACAATAATTTTGAAACAATTATAGAACTGATAGCTATTTCGGAAATCACCACATTTCCTCATCAGACTTCTTTCAGTAGGATTCGAACCGACGATCCCACTGACTCAGCCAGTTGCCTATGCANTGAACGAGATGCAATCACAAGCGCAGTGTTGTGCGAATTATTAAAGTATCACGTTCGGTGTGAATTTCTAGCAACATTTTAACAGTTGGAAAACTGCAACAGTATTGCAAATTTTCATCAGCGCTGCAGTATTGCCGCTTTGATTACGTGCCTCGAACAGGCCCATAACGCCTGAAAAATTGATATGAATAACAGGGCTGCACAAACTAGTTGCTTCTAGTTTCTAAGTGTACCTCCAGCCTAACTCATGTAAAATTTTAATTTATTCTTATTATTCACCGGTTCACCCTCTACATTCTTCCAGGCCCAAGAAAACTCCAGTTTCCAGTAGTGGGTCACGTCAAAAATCTGTAAATTTTTATGAAGATTCTATTGTGCACATCGTAAGCCTCCGCAAATTGTAATAAATTTACACGTTTTGCAAAGTACAATATAATTTTTACAAAATATGAGCTCTGCCAAAATGCTTAACTTGTCGAGAGTAAGTACAAAGCTTTTTTTTTGTTTAAAAACTAAAGACTTCCTCGAAATGAACCTTTTATATGTAGGATTGGCTAATGTTACGTAAGATCCGATTCCTAATAACGGGAGATATGGGTCTTATTGAAACTTATTTTTTGCAAAAAATGTTTAATTGATTTATTTAAATTTTAGGTCGTTGTTCGCAATCTTACCACAACCTCTGCACGTCGTACTGCAGCCAAAAACGAGATTGATAAAGGCTACTTCGAACTGAAGAAGGTGCAAGAGCACTTCCAAAAGCATGATGGCAAGCCAGTGTTCCTCAAGGGATCTTTTGCTGATCAACTTCTGTATCGTCTTACCGTCGCTTTGAGTTTGGCCGGTATTGGTGGTATGGTTAAATTGTTCTACGACTTGAGCGTCCCGAAAAGCCAAGATTAAATGCATGACAAGAGCTACGTAGCAAAACTCTTGTAATTAATGTTTTAAATTAAGCTCCTAAAGTAGAAAAATACACGACTAATCTTGATGTAATTGTATGTTTCCTTGTTTTGTGTGGTAAGC